TCTCTCTCTCTCTCTCTCTCTCTCTCTCTCTCTCTCACAAATACACACACACACAGAGGAGAAGGAGACCTAATGGTTATTGATAGATTTAGCAGATCAGTGATTCATCTGCTGGTACAGTTATTTGGGATAAGTATAAAGTAATAATTGAGTGCTTGATAGAGTCTGACATATGGCTTTGCAGAAGAAGCATGCAAGAATAACTATTTGTGTAAGCTGAAACATACATACTCATGTCAGATGAGTTTAAACAAGCAATTGAGTGGTTGATACGTAGAGTCTGACATACTCCTTTGCAAAAGGAGAGGAGCAATGTAAGAATGACTGTTCTTGCACTACAACTGTGACCAATGACCTCAGATTACCTACCTACCTTCCTTCCTACCTACCTGCATGGTCTTGAGAATTGCTACAATCATGTTTAGGTTTTGGTCGGTGAATCTTTTTTTCCTTTATCGCTTTGCTTTATCTCCAATAGACCATGGACTACCACCTCCTTGGGGTTGGCCTTTTGTTGCCGTATGACTTTTCTACCATTAACACCCATCAAGGAATGCTCCTCTATTGTCTCCTCCTCTGTATCCCATGCTTTCCTTCCTCCTGCGACTTTAATTCTTGTGTGTGTGTGTGTGTGTGTGTTTTGTGTCAGGAACCAACAAAGAAGACCCATCTACTTCTGTCTTCCCTCTCTCTCCAACCTCACTTGCTGGGTTTGTTTAGGTGTTCTTTCTTCAGAGGGTAGCCTGTAAAAGCTCAGTGTACTCCCTCCCATAAAGAGCAAACCCCTCACTGGAAGACAAGATTTTCCCCCATGACTTTTTATCTTCCCCCATTGCTTCTGTCCCAATGACCTGCCCATCCTTGCTTTCCTCACTATAATACACTTCTCCCCATTCCCTTCCCCAGCTACCTGCTCTGGACCTCCCTCCTCCTTCTATACCCCTAACTCTCCTTTGCTTATTCCCATCGATTGGCTACTCGAGAGAGAGAGAGAGAGAGAGGGAGAGAGAGAGAAAGGGAAGTAGATGTATGGAATGAAGCTTGATTCAAGATCTTTCCAAAGACTTCCATGGATGGTTTCGTAGCATCTGTTTGAAGAGATCTCGGACCAGGCTTCATTCCTCACATCTTGCTTTCCGGCATCAAGGAAGTAAGGTGAAGGCTTCAACAGGTGACATGCAGTCTGCCCACTACTGCTTTGCATTTGGGTACTCTTCTAAGTCATTGATGCAACATCAACAATTGCATCACCATCAAATCAACTCCCAATTAGTCTCTCACTTGCTTTCCATTTAGCTCCCATAGCTTCTGAAATATCATCTGTATTAAGCTTCTGAGCATAAATATTACCCTTCAAATTTTCAGAAGCAATATGATCTCCCTGCTAGCAATATGATCACAAGTAATGAGTACGTAGAAGAAATCTATCGATCATCCAATTTGCATCGAGTTTAACCGTCGTTATAATCACCAAATTCTTTTTTTCTTCTTTTCAATGATATTGTTTGTTGATGTTTCATTTTCCTTTTAGATCATGCAGCAAAAAACACTCACACTTCCATGCTCATAAGATACAAGTGTTGAGGTATTAGTGTTCAGCTTAGCACACCATCACCATTGTTTTAAGCTGCTCCTTTGTTGAACTCACAAAATGTAGAGGGCATGTAATGTTGTGTTACTGATGAATCTACTATAATGATTACATTTTAATCTGAAACACTAATCATCAATGTGAAGTTAGATAATTAGGCCCTGTAAATTGCATGGCAATGTTCTACTTAGTGTCAGACATGCCAACCTAAACTCACAAATTAATTAGGTCATACAGTTTACTGGCCATAATTTCACCAACCAAATGTAATAAATGGCATGCAGTGCCAAAGAGACAGTAAGCAATGCAAGTATCTATCTAACTGAGAAGGAAGTGTATGATCTGGTAGAACATTTTTGGGTTAGTTTTAGCTGCTACTTCAGTCAGTTCTCCACAACTTTGTAGCTGATAACACAAACCCTATCTTTGTGTGTTCTTGAACGTTGTCTACAAGGTACAGACACCAGCATTGTCAAGTTTATCTTGGTAGTTCCATGGTAATGCTTACTTACATCCTTCTGAGGCTTCACCTTTTGGTGAGTGGAAGTCTTCTGCCTTTCACTAGCTATAGCATTTATATTCTTGTTATTGTTCTTCATTGAAACATTTCAGGTAGATAATCCTTCAGGAGGAGTAGTACGGTACTCCATGATGCTCAAAGTGATCAGTTGATGAAAACAGTTTATGCTTCCCAGGCAGATGCTTTGAAGGAGAGTAAGGCATGATGAACTCAGGGTAGAA